GACTGTACAAGTTTTAGCTCATATGAACCCCAAAACCTCCCAAGTTAATTACTTGCTTTATGACAATAATCTTAGTTTTATACGATTTTTACGTTGTTTATTTATACATATGTTTAAATATGCAAATGGGGTATCGTCTAATTAAAAAGTAGCTCATTTGCACACATTTCCAGAAAGAACAGCAGCTTCAAATTTACTGTCATGTTTTAAAAAGATATTAAACTCCCGAGAGTCACTTTGCACGTCTTGTTGTATCCCTTCATAAGACAATATTTTTTGTCATGAAAAGCAACGTCTGAATAAAGAAACCCCAGAATATATAGCAGTGTAAAATAGGAAAGTGGAGATAAAAGGGGGGAAATATATTTTAACACGCCTGTAATTAGGCATTGTACAACTCCATACATTCTTTTAATTTTCAAACCGCTGTTTTTGTTTACACTAATAGATATTACAGTGAAACCTCCACAGTTCTTCTCCACAATCTTATACGTTCTCTTAAATTATACGTTTAAATACACCAATGACGTGTTGTCTTATTTATCTGCTTATTTACAAAACTGTCCAACAGAGGAAGTGCAGTAACACCCAAATATGTGCTTTGGCTGTTTCTTTCTTTTTACAACTCTGAGAGATGATGTGGAGGCAAAATTAGCATAAAAAACTGATTTTAGGCAACAACTAAGCATCAGGCTTTGCATACACAGATAACACTGGTGGTTCTGGTCTTTCAGAGATTTGTTGAGGATAAGAGGCTGTATTGTCGAGGATCTGCTTCCAGCAAACCAGACTGTTTTTTGGCCATTAGAGAAACTTATCGTGAGAAAACGTGCACTAAGACATCTCTGCTGCACACCGGATTCTACCAGTGAGATGAAGCAGCCCTGTGGGGGAGTCGGAGGGAGTCTTTTATTGCATAGTTTTCCTACCAAAGGAGGGATTGTTTGGGGAAATCCTCGAGCAGTAATAGCAGATCCATACAGCTCTGCAGACACAGTGTCGGGCCTCGTACAATAACCTCCACTGTAAAGCCCCGGCCGAACCTTCTGCCTCTTTGTTGAGTTCAGCTTGGCGGGTCAGATGAAGTCATGGTTCAGCCTCTCAGGCTCATGACTGTAGACAGCTGATCTCAGACCGACTCCCCCCCTCAGGCCATCAGAGCTCTCCTCCCCCTCCTCCCCCTCCTCACCTCATCAATCATCCCTGTTGTCCATTATCTGCTCCTCACCCCTCAGTCCGTCCGTCCGGCCGCTGTTTTCTCTCTCAGCTTCCCCCTCCACACATCAGCAAACACCTCCACGCTGCTTTTTTTTTTTCCCCACTTCTTTCTAGCTGTTTCTAGTTGGGGAAGTTTGGAATGTGTGAGGCTTTTGTGCCTGCAGGTACCCATAGTTGGGAATGAGGATATACAGAAGTACTGCAGAGTTGTCAGTGTTGCACAAGCAATAATAAAAAGTTCTGCTCCCATAAAGGTTTGGCCTCCTCAGCATAACACTGTGAGCTGATTGGTCCTGACTGAAAACGTTCCATTATTTAACATTCATGGATGCACCATGAAGTTAGTTTGACATATCCAGACTTGTGCGGCGCGATCCTCCAGAGTGTTGGAGGGCTCACGACATTGTCTGGTCTATGTCGGGGCGGCTGTGGCTCAGGTGGTAGAGCGAGTCGGTCAATGATCGGAAGGTCGGCGGGTCGATTCCACCCCGTAACCTGTGTCATGGTGTCCTTGGGCGAGACACTTCACCCACCTTGCCTGGTGTGGATGGATTGTTTGAGGTGGAGTTGGCAGCCAGGCCTCGGTCAGTCTGCCACAGGGCATCTGTGGCTACAATCGTAGACCACCGGAATGAATGTGAATGAATAACTGACAGTGTAACGCGACTTTGAGTGTCTAGAAAAGCGCCTTATAAATCTGACTTATGTGATCAAGCTAGTTTGTGGGTCGCTGAGCAAAAACTTTGATGATGGCTTGCAGGCGGCGTAACTACTGAAGTAAAGGTACGCAGCCGCAATGAACGAGTCTGCGAGCCTGAGCTCAGGGCAAAGAAACCCCAAAGTTACAGATTTCTTATGGCAGAAGTTCAGCAAAAGTCATGTGTAAACAGACGGCCAATGGTGAGGTCCGCTGGACTTGTGATTTGTCTGTATGTCCAGCACTTGTAGCCGTTTACACAATACGAGGAATTTGTTCTGGTGGGTTGGTGCAACAATAAATATACAGTAAGGTATGAGATAGAAAACTAAAAATAAAAGTAACTACAAATAAATATAACTATAGTAGTGCAAAGCAGAAGCAAAACATACTGTCCAGTGAATAGTTAAGTTTAAATAAGAACCATAGAACTGTAGTTATTTACAGGAATACTGAGGGTGCAGATACATTGATAACACCCCCATACCAGCACTTTCAGTGAAGATAAGTTCCAACAAGTGAATTATTGGGGTATTTTCATTGCGACAGGGAAACTGGACGTGTTTGTTCAGTACAACTTTAGGAACATCTGCTGACTAATTCATCAGAGCTGCTCACCATGTGCTCATCCGTCCCTCTGCGTAAACAACCGCTCTCAGTGATTGGCTGTTACTCGTGACCAATCAGAGTGGGGCATTGCTTGGGACCACAGAGAGGGAGCTGGCTCATTTATTTATTTAGCGATAATAAGTTAATAAAAATACGACAGTGATAATTTTAAAAAAGCCAAATATCACAGTGGACTGTTTATGACGTTACATTTATTTAGATTAAGTAGAATCAAAATGAAAATGTGTTCACGCTTCCTT